ATCTGAAGTCCAACGTGCTATAAACAACTCAAAATCTGGCAGAGCCCCTGGACCAGATAAAGTTCATATCGAGCTGATTAAACTTATAGACCAAGATAATTTAAGTGCAATAACTATACTCTTTAACAACATATACAAATCTGGTGAGTTACCTACAGAATAGCTACTATCGACCTTTTCTGCTACTAAAAACCAAGAATCTCAAACAGTGTAATAACTATAGATTAATCAGCTTAATGTCACAACTATTAAAACTATTTTAAAGGATATACATGCAAGAATATTTTTAGAAAATGTGAAGCGAATATAGTTTCCAAGAAGAAGGGGTTCTGAATTGAGTAGACGTTCTGCCAAATAAACACCCGCGGATCAACTGAGAGGATGGCATAGGGTAGCAGCTATGTCCTAACAGGATCGGAGCGGTAAAGAAAATCTCTTTACCGGTCTGACACTGAATAATCACAGGCGGTAATTATGATTTGACCGGTTGTGACGAAATCACTGAATGTTTGATGGTATAAGCAAACCCCCACTTACTGACCAACGGCTTCGGGAGGATGCGTTGGTAAGTGGGAGGGCACTATTTTGTCCTGAGATTGAGAAACCGATCTCAAAGGCGGATGAACCAAGATTAACGGCATAAGGATGCAGAAGGCAAGGAGAAACCACTGCATTAAAGATTCCTAAGGATTTCTCAAGAACAACCACAAATGGACGTAAATCGAACAGTGGCCCCGAGTGCCCGTCGTCTCTTTAATGGGACGGAGGTGCGAAGAATCCCCGGGCGGAAAAACAAATTTAGTGTAAGCGATTTAAAATGCATAGCAACGTGGAATATAAGAACACTTTATGAAGCAGGAAAATTAACAACAGTCATGCTAGAAATGGAGAGATTAGACATACAAGTATTGGGCCTTTCAGAACTTGAGGGCCAATTTCTCGAAACTACACCAAGGATAATAATACTATTTTCTACTCAAGCAAAAGCGCTGGAGAACACATCCATGGTGTTGGTATTATTATCAACAATAATTTAAAAGAGTTTGTGACAAATTTCATTCCCTTCAACGAACGTATGATGCTACTTCAGTTGAAAGCCAAACCACTAAACATAAATCTAATCCAAGTGTATGCTCCAACATCTGATAGCAATGATGCTGATTTATTCTACGCGGACTTAGAGCTGTTAACAAAAACATAAAGAAGCAGGAGGTAAAAATAATTATGGGCGACTTTAATGCTAAAGTCGGTCGAGGAAAAATTGGAAATATTGTAGGAAATTTTGGGTTAGGTAAAATAAACGAAAGAGGTGATAGACTAGTCCAGTACTGCCAGGAGAAAGAATTAGTCATAACAAATACATACTACGACCTACTCTCACGAATATTATACACGTGGACTTCTCCAAAAGATAACATCAACAATATAATCAGAAATCAAATAGATTTTATAACGATTAAAAAGTTTCGTAATGAAGTACAGAGTGCAATAACTTATCCAACCGCAGATATAGATACGTACCATAATCTATTACTAGTAAATGTCAACATTAAACTCAAAAAAAACGAAGAAAAAACCACCAAAATAAACAACAAAAACCTAAAAGACGACAACTGCCAACAGCAACTAAACGCAGAGATAAATAAATTAACTGAAGGAAGCGTGGAATGGGCAGATATGAAAAAGCCATACTAAAAGCTGGAAAAGAGGTCCTAGGAGAAGAAGAGAAAATAACTAAAAAAGATTGGATGACGCCGGAAATAGTTGAGCTAATAACTGAAAAAATAAAATACAAAAATAAAGATGGAAATAAATATAAAATCATCAAGAATAAAATCAAAATAAGAAATTAAAAAGGCTAAGGAGGAATGGATGAACACTGAATGCCAGGAACTGAAAGAACTCAGCAACAAACATGACACCTCAAATTTACATAAAAAAATGAAAGAACTTATAGGCAACACCAGACAAAGAAGAACACTCATAACAAGAAATAATAATGGAGAAATACTTACTAAAAAGAGCAAAATAAAGGACGTATGAGAACAATATATAATCCATCTGTTCCATGTCGAGAGGGAAAATGAACAAGATATAGGTGAAGACGAACAATACCTACAAATTTTACCTTCAGAAGTAAAGCATGCCCTACAGAATGCAAAACAAGGAAAAGCACCGGGTCCTCATCAAATTCCAGTTGAACTGTTAAAAGCCTTAGATGGCGGTTATATAAAAAGACTCACCCGAATTCTCAATCACATATATGTAGAGGGCAACATTCCAAAGGAATGGCTTAAATCAATATTTTTACCTCTTCTTCTTCTTCTTCCAGTGCCCTGTTCGATTATCGAACGTTGGCGATCATATTGGCAATAATAACCTTATTCACGGTTATTAACTTTTTTACCTCTACCAAAAAAAAAACAATCCCAAATCATGTAATGACTATAGATTGATAAGCCTAATGTGCCACCCTTTAAAGATTCTTTTAAAAATTGTTCAAAACCGAATTCATCAATTTAGATAAAAAAGACATTGAGTTTATTAAGGCTATATACTGGAACCAGAAAGCAGTAGTAAAGGTCAACGATATAGAAACAAATAATATACCGATTGCGAGAGGGGTCAGGCAAGGAAGCGTCATCCCTCCGACGCTTTTCAATGTGTACTCACAGGTCATATTCAGAAAAGCCTCATGAGAAAGAAAAGAGGAAATAAGAATTGGTGGAGAAATCGTAAACACCATGAGATTTGTAGATGACACGGTAATTATGGCTGAGAGTATAGCAGAACTACAAACTTTATTAGATGAAATAAATAGTGAGTGCATTCAAATGGGACTTGACATCAATACAGACAAGACCAAAAAATTTATGATAGTATCAAGGAGTCCAATAAATAATAAACAACTCACTCTTGGTGGACAGCAGATAAAGACAATGACAAAATATAAATATCTGGGAGCTTACATCGACACAGAATTAGATCCAGACCAAGAAATGAGGGTACGAATAGAAATGGCAAGGGCAGCGTTCTTAAAATTCAAGCAATTGTTCTGTGATAAAAATTTGAATACTGCGCTGAGACTGAGGTTTGTTGAATGTTACGTCTGGTCCCAACTATTGTACGGGGTAGAAACATGGACGTTAAAAACCCAAATAGTTAAGAAACTTAAAGCCTTTGAACTTTGGATAAAGCGGAAAATGTTGGGAATTCCATGGACTGCCAGGGTCACCAATGAGGAAGTGCGGAAAAGTATGGGCCGAGACAAAAAATTGTTGACAACAATAAAAGTACGCAAGATGTCTACCTTGGACACATAATGAGGAATGATAAATATAGTCTTCTGCAGGTCATTATGCAGCGTAGAGTCGCAAAAAGCGAATAGGTAGAAAGAGGAATTCATGGCTGCGAAATATTCGAGACTGGACAAACATGACTGTAGTCGAATTATTCCACGTTGCAAAATACAGAGATACTTTTAGAAATGTGGTCGCCAACCTCCGTTAATGGGGACGGCATAGGAAGAAGAAGAAGAGAAGCGGATATGAGTAATAGACAGTTTGGTTTTCGTAATGGCTTCGGAATAGTAGAAGCTCTATATAGTTTCACAAATACAAATAATTTTTCTGTAGTCTTCTGCAGAATATCCTTACAGGAAATCGATTACCGTACAGTTAGTACTGGTTTACCAAAACAGAGACAAAAATAGATCAATCCTCCCAGTATGTGGTACGCCTCATTCGGCTAAAACTTTTTTTAACAACAATTTTCCAGATATCATCTCAGACCTATGCACACATAGCGCGACCTAGGAGAATAATAATCATGAATCTATTACTTTTCATACGTCTTCAGGCCCATTTTATAGAACCTACGGTAACTACCAAATTAGGGTAATTTTCGAAAGCCATAAATTTTTTTAATTTAAAATGTAAATTTGTAACAATTATTTGATAAGTCGTTGTTCACGAAGTAATATTCGTTCTTAATAATTTCCAATGTTTAATTTAAGGAAATAATCATCATGATTCTCGTACTAGATATAAAAGATGTACCATATCATTAAACATGTACCCTAATTAATCGTATAATTATATTTGGTTTTTGCAAACCATTTCTTTTATATCATATTTAATAACATTTAAATAAAATTTGTATCTAATAGTAACAATTAAACGAAAAGTAAAGTATAGAATACCGAAAAACTTATGGAAACGTATTATTTATAATAATTTATTAAAGCAGCACTTTAAATACAAAATCGTTTACCATCAAGTAATTATTAAATTTTAAATTATTATTACAACTATTTTATTTATACAAACATTTATATAAACAAATTTAAGAATTTATAAATATTAAACTTTACTACAATAAAATGCATGGATTATTTATTAAAAGTAGATCAAACTAGCTTTTAAACAGCTAAAAAAATTTAAAAATATCCTTTCAATACTTCAAAATAATTAAATAAATGTTTTAATTCAAAATTAAAAATTTTCCCTGTAATTATAACAATGAGAAATTATCGCAGCGATTATGAGACCGAAAGCGCGTGACGACACTGACGGATGTTTCTTTGATTTAATTCGAGACTAGAAGTTCCCCAGGTCGTCCAAAAGAAAAGTTGACGTAAAACACGGGGCACGATGATTGGGATGTTCTCACGGCATCGGCATTTGTGGGCTAGCAGCTTCAGCATAAGCATCAGCAAGAAAAGGGCTAAGATCGATAGGATAGCAGAGCAAAGCAAAGTGGAGTAAAATGTAGGTTAGCAAAAGCATTGTACCGATGGGATGGCAGGGCGGTGGCACAGAATCAATAAGCTGCCGGTGGTGGCGGCGGTGCTGGTGCCGCTCTAGTATAAATCCCGCTCGACAGTCGCCACTTTCCACTTGCCACCGACCCTTATTCTCCGCGTTGCCTATCCGCCAAATTATTGTCCGTGTTGACAGATGAAATATTGCCATGCCCATGCCCATACTCAAGCAATGCCTCTAACTAGCAACGCGGCGATTAAAACCAATAACGGGACAGTAAAACACGGCTACATCCGCAGGAGCACAAGCGTCCGACAAATTGGCGGGAAAACTTAATTCATGACAAAATGTACCTGTTTTTGCAGGAGAACAGTGCCCATCGGCGATAGTTTTCCCCGGAGATGGCTGCTTTAAGTCCTCGCCTGCTGTTGGAACTGACATGGTTGTTTATGATTCCAACCTCCACTGAGTACTCATATGATGATGGAGACACCAGATACGGGACACGGCCGCCTCTCTGGACCGGACCACACAAACTACCGATTGTTTCTGCCGCCGCTGAGTTACTGAGATCGGAGGATCGTTGAGATCCCGAGCGCAGCATCCACCACCGTCAGCCCTAGATCCGCTCCCGCCCCCTGTACACCAACCCTTCACAGCCGACACCACTTCCCTCTTCCCTGCCGATGTCGCTTTGTGATGCTTGCTTGGACTATATTCAGGTCCGTTTGTCAATTTTTTAAGTTTTCCCTGTATGCCCTCTTTATTGGTTTGCCTTTACACTACAACTTCCTTAAAATTTAGGTGACAACTTTACCTGAAGTTCTAGTAATAGTAAATTTTAATATTTTTTAAAATAATATTTTAAAAAACATTTATAAATAATAAATTTAAAATAAGGATAGTAACTGTATTTTTAAATAATCTGTATTTAATTTGTTAAGATAAATTTTATATATTTATCACAATTTAAACAGTGGTTGAATAATTATTTTAACAAATACGCAAAAATTTTTAAATTTACAAACGAATATAAATTATTAAATACAAAACTACATTCCGTTCCTATATCAAATACTGTGTAAAATTCATTTTTGTTGGGTTCCTTTATGCCACATAAAATATTTTTCATTAAATATACAATCTGATTGAATTAAACTGGTTTTAGTAGAGTCATCTGAGATTTGACCTATACAAATCATACGAACAAGCTGAATTTTGATAAGAATGTCAATTTTGGGAATTAAAAAAATATGCAAAAAACTCTACCACTCCTACCCTCCGGCTTTTGCCTAAAACCCCCCTCACAGAGGAAAAATCAATTTACCAAGAATCAACATGCCGCAATAAAAAAAATTTTAAATAAAAAATGTAGCTGAGATGATTTTGAACAAAAATGTATAGTAGCACTTCTTGTGTAAAATGAACCGTTCTGTTAGAAACAACGCAACGGTTGAAACGAACGGCGGTGTTAAAAGCCAGTTACGCTCGTATGAAATTTGTATCCACATGACGGTAAAAATTCAATATCTCTTGATCCAAGTGTCCTATCGACAAAAATAAAAATGCATTTTAAAGGTGAAGAGTACACCTTTTTTATGCAATTTTTGTATTTTGCCGCAAATAAAGTCAGTTACTATAAATAAATTTTCAATAAATAACTGTTGCGCGATTTTTGCTATTTTATTCGATTCTCATGAATTTTTACAATTCTCATAAAATGTATCATTTCAATGAGCGGTCGTATTAAGTGGAATTTCCATTGGTCAAGTTTGCCATTAGAGTCTTTAAAATCTATACCATAAAGGTATTAGATGGAATTTGTAGCTGAAATTGCGTAGTTTCAAAAAACGTACTTGTGTAATCAAAAAGAAGTAGATACGAATGTTGTTTATAATGTAAAAGTTTAAATTCAGCGTTTTAGAGCTTAATTTTCTAAGATTAGACTCTATCAATGGAAATTCCATAGTGACTGGTCAATGAAAGCGATATATTTTATTAATCTCATAAGAATCATAAAAAATGGCAAAAATCGCGCAACGTTTATTTATTTAACATCTTTACAAATTTATTTGTAGTTAAATACAAAAATGGCACACGAAAGCTGCACTCTTCATCGTCAAAACGCATTTTGATTTTTGTCAATAAAAAACTCTGATCAAAAGATATCGTATTTTTACCATCGAAATGATACAAATATTATTTAAGATTGATTTCGCTCATAACGCATTGGAAAAAGTGCCAATAAACATTTCTGTTCAAAATTATCTCAGCTAAATTTTTTATGGTGTACAAAATCTTGGTAGTTGGATTTTTTCGGATTTTCTACCCCTACGAGGGGGGTTTTAGGGGAAAGCCCGGGAGTAAAAGTAGTAAACTTTATTGCATCTTTTTTAGGGTCCCAAAATTGATACTCTCAGCAAAGTTTAGATTATTCGTATGATTTTTAGAGGTTCAGTAGCCTTTTTTGTCTTTGACGACTGGAATATTTATAGATAAGATAATTATTTATCATTTTAATGTCTAATGAAATCATTTTAGCACGTAGGTACGAAATTTCTTGAAACTAAGTCTGACTTGATTTGGTAAGGTTTTATTGGGTTAGGTTAGATAAGATTTGGTTAAGTAAGGTTTGGTCAGTTTGGTTAGGGTATGTTTAGGTTTAACGTACTTTGCATACACGAAAAGATATTTCTCTTAATTATAAAAATCATTAAAAATATGCAAAATACGATTACCATGATTACCATTTATAACTTTTCTTAAATGATAACGTAAAGTTTCATTTAAGAAAAGTTATAAATAAAAAGCATTATTTTTTGGCTGTCAATATGCCATGGCTATTTATCAAAAAACTGATGAAAACTATATATATATATAATTCTAGAATATAAATGTAGGTTATCGCGAGGAAGGATATCCATAGAACAAACTTTTATGCTACGGGAAATACAGGCTAAGACTTGCTATCGTCCATCATCATCATCCATCAAGAAGTGTAGGGAGAATCCATTATAGTTCTCTTTGTCAATTTCAAGCAAGTATTTAACAGGTTAAAAAGAAAGTCCTGAAATATTTGAGAATAAGCAGAAACAAACAAGAATAGTCAAAGTGAATCTTTTAAGTGCAAAAAATTAGATGAAAAACTAGCAATCTTCTTTTAAAACCGCCTATCTTCTAGTGATGTTGACGACCATATTAACCCATCTTATTCTATTCACAGTAGCTCGAAATAGATCAATCTAGCCAAGATATAGGATAAAATACACGTCTGCGTCCAAAGCCTATCTTGCCCTCAATTTTAACTTGTAGAATCAACTGTAGAAGTCGATATTTATTATTACGCATAATGTGGCCCAAGTAAGCCAATTTTCTCTTCTTTACGGTGCTAATAATTTCTTTTTTTTTCTTAGCCTCTGGAGAACAGTTATGTTAGTTGAGTGGTGTCTATACAGGGTAATTCATTAAGAATGTCCAACCTCTGAGTTGTAGATTCTAGACCTCAAAATATAATGATCCTGCCTCACATGCCTTATACAAATTTTCTCAATTTTCGAGATACTGTTTAAAGTTTAAATATGGTTAAAGTTTTGCAATAATTTGGTATATTTTCATATTTGTTATTAGGAAATTGTCAATTTTACGTTTTTTTTGACATAAGGATTGATAATTTAGATCCTTTTTTAGCATTGCTAATAGGGGGCGTTAGTTAAACTTGGTTGTGTTTAGTAAATCAAAGCAATTTTTTTTCTTGTAATTGATGGGTGAAAAAATAGAAAAAATATAAAAAAGCGTTAAATTCTACAAAAAAGTTACTTGTCATTGAAATAACATTCATTGAAAGTAAATGTTTAAAATGTCCACTATTTACTTCCATACGCCAGTACTTTCTCCAAGGTTTTCTCTGTTGAACCCACTAATTATCAGTTCTCTAATATTACTTCGTCACGAGTTTCTTCTTCTCTTGAAAATATAATCATTACTCCTGAAAAAGTTAAACATCATCTTCAAAGCCTAAAAAATAATTCGTCTCCTGGTCTCGACTTAATATCTTCTTTATTTTTAAAGAAATGTTCTGATGCTTTAGCTTATCCACTATATGTGATTATGTCCCTATCATTCACCACACATATTTTGCCTCCTATATGGAAAACCGCATCTGTAACACCGATCTTTAAAAAAGGGAACAAACTGGATCCTAATAACTATCGTCCTATCAGCTTAACACCTATAATATCTAAGATAATGGAAACTATTATTGCCGAGACAATTTCTGATTTTCTGCAAAATGAACTGGTTATACCAGAACAGCAGCATGGTTTTGTCAAAGGACGTTCTACAATGACAAATCTTCTCTGGTGTGTCAATGAATGGTCAAGAGCATTAGACAGAAAAGCCCCGGTGGACATTATATACCTCGATTTTGCTAAAGCTTTCGATAGAGTTCCAAAACGAAGACTATTACATAAATTGGAACACCTTGGTATCCGTGGTCAACTACTGAAATGGATCGACGCGTATTTAACAGATAGAAAATTTTGTGTTAGAGTTGGGGACTCTTTCTCAGTTGAGAGAACGGTTTTAAGTGGGGTACCGCAAGGATCAGTTTTGGGCCCACTCTTATTCATAGCATACTCAAGTGATCTACAATTTCATATTAAATGCAACAATGCTTTCTATGCAGATGACACGAAGCTATTTTCCGATCCCTCCGTAAATTTCCAGTTACTACAAGATGACCTTGATTGCATATCGGAATGGTGCTCTACCTGGATGCTGCCTCTTAATGTGGAAAAATGTGTAGTTCTTCACATGGGTAAAAATAATCCGTGTCTTCCTTACTCTATTAATGGCGCGTGTTAAAAACAGTGAAATCGCATAATGATCTAGGCGTTATAATTAATAACAATCTAAGTTGGTCGGAACACATTTTGCATATTTCTAAAAAAGCTAACAGTAAATTATATCTACTAAATAAAACGTTTGCGAAAATGTCATTTATGAGCTCAATTCATCTGTATAAACTGTACATTCGTCCAGTTCTGGAATATTGCGGAACTGTTTGGTGTCCAGTATTAGTGCGCGATCGTAATATTCTCGAAAACGTACAGCGGCAGTGCACCAGGATGTCTTTTGGTCGCTCAAGACCTACGTATACAGAAAGACTGAATATGGCCAATCTCACTACATTTGAACAACGTCGACTTCGAGGCGATTTAATTATTACGTTTCGGATAGTAAAATACAACTTTGGAAATTTGGGGAATATGTTCATAATAGACAATGACAATCGTCTTCGTGGCCACAAACTTAAGTTTAAAAAGGAAACTTTTTTAACAACAACCAGACAATTTTTTCTCTGTAATCGAGTGTTCTCGATATGGAATAGCCTTCCGGCTGAGATCATAGATGCTCCATCTGTCAATATTTTCAAAAATAAA